AACCCCAAATGGAAGGTAGTCCTGGCGGAAGGAATACCCTGTGCCCAGGAGGAGGGAAGCAGCCTGCTTTGCACCTGGTGCCTTGGTGGGAAGAAGACGGAGAGGAGAGAGGGTCCAGGCAGCTGGGCCAGATCCTGGGCTCAGGGGCTGGCTTGGGCCTGCGGGCCTCTGGGAGCCCCCTTGGAAAGGAATTAAGCTCTGCAGAGTGATATAATCAGCTTTGCATTCTGGAAAAGATCACTGAGCCCCAGCATTTCAGCATCTTTCTGCAGCAGCACCAGCCAGATGTGGGAATCTGTCTGTGGCAGTGAGTGATAGCTGCACATGTGTGGCTGGGAGCTGGGGTTTGTGTAGGGGTGGGAAAAAGACAGAAAGAGGGCTCAGGCTGACCTGGGTGCAAAACTTGACTCAGTGTCTTGTGGAGACCAGGTTTCCTCAACACAAGCAAACTCCAGGCTGCGGCGTGGTGTCCTACAGCCCTGTCCTGCACACTCCCTTCAGACTCCCTACAGGATGGTGTCACCCCAGCCTCTAGGGAGAGAGTTCCTGGCATCAGGGGGGCCTGCTCCTTCCTCCTGGGGTGTGTTGTGCTGAATTGAATTCAACAGGGCAGAAAGCCTGCCGAGCACGTGCTCTGACACAGCCTGGTGACTCCAGGTAAGGACTCACAGCAGGGACCCATAAACTTTTTTCCAACATGGCTGATGGAAGGTGGGCTTCTGCCTCCTGAAATGTCCTGACTCCTCAAGAGTCTTTTTGAGGCTGCAGTTGCGTCAGGGCACTGTGAGAAGCGTCGTTCATGTCTACTGAGCAAGCCCTGAGTGGCTTTCACATCTCTGATTAATTCAGAATAAAAGCTGCAAAAAATCCAATTACTCTCTCTGTAGTAACTGCACTTTGTTGAAGAAATGACTCAAAGCATAGGACTCCTGGGTAGTAGAACACCTACAGGGAGTCCCTGGGCAGTGTAAGAGATGAAATGCCTGATTACTTACAAGAAGCTTAGTGATTGAGACTCACCCAGAAGTGCCTTGGAAGAAAGTCCTGGCTGTGTGCTCCCCACAGGGCACAGTGATGAAAACCCAACAGAGCGCGTGTCTACTGTAACACAAAAAGCTAGCAGGAGCTGAAGCGGACTCCGCAGCAGCTAGTAAAGGCTTCGTATCGCTGCTGCTTGATTGTCCATCTGGTGTTTTCAGCACCTCGCCCCCTTGGGTCTGACCTACAGCTTTCCAGGGCAGATGCCTGACTGGATAGGTCTCTAGCTCTGGTGTCATAGAATAGTTTGTCCTTGGCTACTAACTGGAAGTCTGGTGGTTCAAATCCACACAGTGGCACGGCTGAGGAAAGACCCAACAATTTATTTCTGTCAGATCGTTACGTGCTGTCATGGCAATCCTAATTCACAGGGACCCAGTATGGTGGGGTAGAACTTCCCCATGAAGTTCTGAGGCCGTAATCCTTAGAGGAACAGATCACCAGGTCTTTATTCCTGAAGAAAGGCTGGTAGGTTCCAACCATCAATCTTTTCACAGGGCGCCCAGCCACCGCACCTTCTGGACTCATTTCCATTAGAGTGCGGTCGCTGGGAACCCCAGGAATGCCGTTCTACTCTGGAACACGAGTTGGAATTGACTCGGAATCAAGGGAGGGTTTTTTTTGTGGGCCCTGTTCTAGGCGCTTGGGAGTTCTGGTGGCTTCGTGGTAAGGAACGGTGCTGCCTACCCGTGGCACGTGGTTCGATTCCGTCAACTGCTCTATGGGAAAAAGATGTGCAGTCTTCTCTTGTGTGATTTACTGCCTCTGAGAGTCAGCCTGTGCCCTGCTCCTGGGGTCATGGAGATTAGAGTGGCCCTTGAGCCTCATGCACACTTGTCCCTTTTCATGTCGTGTGTGTGTGTGTGTGTGTGTGTGCGCGCGCGCGCGCATGCGCGCGCATATAAGGGGCTTATGGATTTGTACATGAGCCTTTATCTATTTGAACTCATTTATTTATTGAGCACCTACTATGTGACTTCAGGAGCCTAACGGGTTTGGTCTGGTAACTCTCCAGAGGCTCTATTGGAGAAACATCTCATGATCTGCTTCTGTGAAGATCCCAGCCCAGGAATCCTTGTGGGACAGTTAACTCTGTGGCATGGGGTCACTGTGAGGTGAAAATGACTTCCTGACACCCAGCTCGAGGGTCGGCTATGAGGTCCACCTCGACACCAGACAACAACAACATTCTGTGCTCTGTGGATACCGCAGTGAACAAAACAATTGAACAAACCGTTTGTTCACCTGATCTCTCAAAAACCCAAGGAATAGTTAAAAGTTTTTTTTTTCCTCTTTTTTCCTCTCACCTTATAAACGGGCAGCTGAGGCTCTGCGAGGCCAGCTCTGTCACCAGCAAATGGAGGATCTTGGCTCATACCCAAGTCCGTTTGCTCCCAGCCCGATACCCTTCCTATGTCCTCACACTGACCCGATTGTTGTAGAAATGCTGAGATACCTCGTCAGGATGATCCAGATGGTGCCCGTTGAACAGCGGTAGAATCAGGCCCAAAGCTGTAACCCAGCCAGAAATAATTCACCACAGCTGTGTAGATCTGATAGCCACCTTTACAAGTATTAAGCCACACTGGTAATATTTGCTCTATGTGTGACCCAAGTGTTTTTCTTATTCTTTCTTAAATGTGGGGCCGTGGGAGGAGGGCTTGAAAAATAGCTCTGAGCCAGCAGGCCTGTCCTACTGGGGGCGTGTGCCCTGGGGCCACCCTCGCCTGGCCCATCCCATCCCAGGGCGACACAGAGACCTCACCATCAGCTCGCTTCTCCCCCCACCGCTTCCTACTGTGTTTTCTGGAAAAGAGCTGCACATGACTCTCTGGTCAGGGATGGTGTCCTCCCTTTCCTGCTAGAGACATGCATGAGGCTTCCCCCACCCACCTGCTCGCTTGTCTTCTGAAGTCTTTGTGCACTAGGCTCCTTAAACTGTCTTCTCCAGCCCTCCTCCAGCCTCTGCCCTCATGGCCTCGGCATTCTGCACCGCTTATTGACAGTGTCCTCTCTACGTCATTGGTCACCAACCCTAGCCACATTTCAGTGACCTCAATGTTTTTGCACCTGACCGCCTGGACCTCTCGCAGTGGTAGCCCTCTCCTTCCTTCCTCTTACAGTTCGCCTGGCATTCTCTTTCTGCTCTTCCAACCAGCCTCTCTCCAGCTCCTTTATGACTTCTACCATTTCTCCAATTTGACTGTAGCTACCATTTTGTGCTAAGACTTGGCACCTCTAGTCATCCTCAACTTCAGTCTCCTTAGAGGACTCACACAACCTCAGCTACTGAGGCCCTAAATATTCTTTCTAGTCTATCCCACTAATCTATCCCCAGCACGCTACCTCCCCACACATCCTTCCTAGTCATGCAGTGGATGAATGGATGGATGGATGATGGGTTGGTAAACAGATCGGTAAATGGGGGAGATGATGTGTGAATGGGCGACTGGCTGGCTGCATGGGTCAGTGATGTTCTGCTCTTTGTTCTGAAGTCTGCAGTTGGTCAGAAGAGGTTTCCATTTGCATGTCCCACCATCACCTGAAAAATAATGTGGCAAACCACAAAGCTATTTTGAAATTGCAGAAAATGAAAGTTGTGTAGGGCACTGCAGACCATGACAATGAAATCTTCAGGAGGCCTGTGTGCTGTGCCTGTCTCTGACTAGGGTGCCAGGATTGTGCTGGGCTGACCCCCTGCCCGAAGAGGTCCTCAGAGGCATCGGACTGGGCACGAAGGGCCCCTGCTGTCCTCCTCCTGGGTCAGGATCCCTTTCTCTCTGCCTCTTCCCCCCTCACACTGTCTCTGCTGGTGATTAGTCATGCTGGAGCCTGGCTGAGTCAGAATGGACTCGTGGGTGGTTTGTGGCCAGACTGGAGCAGTGGGGCGAGAGGACTTTCTAGGTTTATGTCTCTGTGCCTCAGGAGACAAGCACTGGGAGGTCTGCGTGTGTGCAGATGCTGTGTGAGGGGTAGAGGGGACGGGCCTCCATCGTGTCCCGAGAGGTGGATGAAGAAGGACCAAGATTCACACTCATGCATGCATACACAAATTTTCTCCTTCTATCATACACATACACATGAGACATTGCTATTAAAAACAAAAACAAAATACCACACAGTAAACATCCAGACATAGTCTCTCCAAGATGCTCTTGTGAGCAAGACCAAGATCTGCAGGTCTCTCACCACCCAGCAGCCGCTTTACGGCAGGTGTATTTACAGGAGCTGCAAAATAGTCCTCCATGCTTCTGTTGGCCTAGTGGGAATGGCGCTGCCAGCCCAGGGACACAGGGCTCAGCTCTGCTGCCTGCTCTGCAGGAGAAGGATGGGAAGTCTTCCTGTGTGGTTTACTGCCTCTGAAAATGCCCTGGGATCAGCTGTGGGTCAATTCTGAGTCGACGGCACACAATAACAACAACAACAACAACATTTTCAACCATAGTTCTCGTTTCTGTTATTGCAGGTCCTTTAATATTTCTTTTCAAATGACTTTATTCTCAACAAAGGCAATTCATTAAATACAGACTTTATTCAGCTTCTCTAATTATGTCAGATTTATCTGTGTATTAATTAATAAACTACTAAATACAGCAATGAATTCTTTTGTGATCGTGTAGTTCAGGAAACGTCTCTAGGCAGGAGAGATACATGCAGCTGAGGCTGTGGATTTTCTCCAGAATCCCACCCAGGATGTAGTCACAGAAGGTGTTAAAGGGTGGCCCAGCGGTCCCCGGGCCGGATGAAGGAAAGTCTGTCCGTTCTAGAGAGAACAGCGCAGCACAGGCCTGGCGAGGCCCGGCCGGCGAGGGCGTGGGGCGCTGGCAATGGCAGACGTGGGCGTGGGAGGCGTGGGCTGGACTAGAAGCGAGGTGTGGACCAGACTGGGAGGACCCCTGAGTGACATTCCTCTCGGGTGCAGCCTCCTAGACCCTGGCTTCACAGGCTGTCTGTGCCCACAGGAGGGAGAAGAGCCGGAGGAATCCCGCGGCAAGGAGGAGCGGCAGGAGCCCGGCACGACCACGCGGAAGGTGGGGCGGCCTGGGAGGAAGCGCAAGCACCCTCCGGTGAGTGTTACGTCATCTGAACAGCCCAGCAACACACAAACACACACAACCCCCACTGCTGCCTTCAGTCCCCAGCAGGGACCTGGTGGTAGCAAAGCCTATGGCCCAGACCATTAAGTAAAGGCAGTGGGTGTGTCCCTCTGGCCGCAGAGCCTGGCAGCAGCAGTGGCTTTGCTGCAGTAGGGCCGCCATGTCTCCTCCTTGAGAGAGAATGGTGGATTTGCTCAGGTTGAAGCCTTGAATCCACCCAGAGAAAGTGCCTTGGAAGAAACTCTTACCCATCTGCTTCCAAAAAGTCAGCTGCTGGGGTCTCAAGGAATGAATCAACTCCAGGGCATTAGGTGGTGTGTAGCCAGTCTATATGTTTCTCTTTCTACCCTAGCTCTCTTCCTCTCTTTCCATACACACTGTTCCTTTCTCTAAACACACACACACACGCCCCCCCCCACACCCCTTGGGCCTCAGTTGCCACCTGGAGAAGTGACTTGAGGTGGGAGAGTCCCATCCAGCTGAGCAGGAAGGAGATGCAGGCTGCTGAGTCTTTGTGGAAGAGGAGGAAACCTTGGGCCCTCTTCCAAGGCCTGTGGAGTGTGGGCCCCAGGTTGACCGGCCAGCCCCAGGCTTCTGGTACTACTGCCTGTGAAGTCTGGGGGTGCCATGGTGTTTCCAAAGATGAGACGTGCTCTGGATGGCAAGGCCTGTGGACCTTAAGAGCCTGGCTCCCTTCTTCCTTAAATGCAGGGGCGAAGCATTGTGTATTTCCCAACACCAAGACAGATTGTTTGCTTCTTTTATCCCCTTCTAGCTAAGAAGGGGAAACTTGGAGCAAGAAGATAAGGGGATTGGGGGCCCTGGATTTGTAACTCAGTCCTTCAGGGTGATGGTCTCAGTAGGGCAGTGACCCCGAGATTCCCTTTTCTCAAGTACAGACTGGGGTGGGTGATGGCTGATGTGAAAAGGAGCAGCAGGGGCGGGAGTGTCCCAGCTGGTAAGTAATTTTAAAAATTTTAATGTTAAAGCAAACATGGATGCTTTATAGCCTGGATTGAAAAATTGACTTGAATTTGAAAGATAAAACAGTGACTTCAGAGGAACTTCCAGCTGACAGTGAGTTCTCCAAGATGGATTTCCTCATTCCTGGGAGTGTCCCTCTATTATCCTCTGCCATGGGTGAGGATGTGGGGCACAGGTCAGCCAGGGCTGGAGAGGAACAGGCTGACTTCAGAGCCCACCAGTCAGTAATTGCATCTGTATAGGTGACCTTCATCTTGTCAGCTTTGGAACTGGGTCATCCCAGGACCCACCTCCCACAGTCAATAAAGACTCGACAGCTCTTTGGTTTGTCTTTGTCAGTCCCTGGAGTCAGAGGAAAGGCACATTTCTGGGAGGTGGTGTTACTGACGCCCTGAAGGGCAGTAGAAGCCAGGAAATCCAAAGCAGGTGTGGAAACATGTGCAGAGATGGAACCAATGAGAGCGAAGAGGGGCGCGGCCAAGTGGGTGAAGGATCAGCCAAGCGTACACCCCTCAGCCAGGAACAGGGTCCTTTGTTGAAGGAAAACTACCATCTCTGGAATCCCACCAACTTGAATTCTGTCCCAGCTCCACCATTCACCTTCTGTGTGACCCTTCTGGACTGCAGTGAGAACTAAATGAGCTTAAGCACCAAAGAGGCCGTCCTCAGCTTAGGCCTGTCTGTCCCGTTCACAGGCACAGCAGCTTTGTAATTGCAAAGGAGAAAGCTCCTAACTTTACTGCTCCTCATCTTTGTGACCTTGAACAACTAACCTCTCTCAGTTTCTGCTGGAAAATATGGCTGATTGTAGGACTAGCCTGTCTCCCACCCAGCATGCTTTGAGAACAGTAACGTCAAAAGGTGCCCAGTTAGCAGCTTCATAAATCCATTGCAGGGGCCAGTGTCTGCTCAGTGAGTGCAGGCCTTTGAGGTTGGAGCTCCGTCTCAGTCTTCAGCACCCCTGATGCGGAGACCACACATTCTGTGTAGGTCAGTTGGGATGCCGTCCAGATATTTCTTAGGTGGCATCTGTGGCCACCTGGACTCTCGAATGAGGAGAGCGAAGCTGATTGGAGAGGCAGCTGTTGTACTGGGGGGAACAGAAGAAGAAGGACCCCAGAGAAAAACAACAAGCAGAGCCCTTCCTGGGCAGCAGACCCCAGAACCCCAAGGGAGCGCACGCTGGGGAAGTTCCTGCTACTGCCTGGGTCCCTGGTCTGCAGGCCATCTGGTCCGGCTCACAGCCCTCAGCACTTGAGGGACAGGTGCTGGGCCTTTTCCCTTTCTTGGTAGAAGCAACACAGCAGGGAGGATGTCTTAGGGACCTGTTGCAGCTGTGGGCCTGGGAATGGATTTCCCTGGGAGCTTTAAAGCAGCTGAGTGTATGATCCAGCCAAGCCTGGAGAGGGGCCGAGCTCACTGGGATCCTGACAGGTGTGCCTAAGGGGAAGTGCTGGGGGGCAAGAGAGGAAATGTGGCTGAAGGCTGGGGGGCTTGACCTGTGCAGATACTGCCACCTGGAAAAGGACAGGACAAGGCAAGTCTACTAGTGTCTGCACCTCCCAGTCCTGAGGCCCCACCCAGCCCCAAGGCTAAGCCATCTCTGGCTGACTTCTCCTTTTGCTCCTAGAGCCTGTCAATCTTTGCCTTCTGCAAGCACCTCCCCCAGGTGCCTTATATCCACTCCTGCTGCTGCCTGAGTGACATAGCTGTGTTCTCAAGCAAAGCAGGCTCCACCCTACCCTCTCTGCTGAGGCCAGTATGTCTTCTAAAGCTTCTGCTTCCTCCTTCCTTGGCAACCAACACTTACATGGAGCACCTACCACTTGGTGGGAACCTCACATACAAATCAGGCTGCTCTTTCCATCTAGCATGTTGCAGAGAACTCTCACAATCATAGTAAAAAATATTGCATGGCACATCTCTGTGCAACAGTCTTCAGAAACTGCATTTCTTATGAGACAAGATGTAGAATATTTCACCTGGCATTCCAGCTTCTCACCATCTGACTTCTGCTGCCCTGTACTCACTTGTGCCAGTGCTCATGTTGTACACTGCAGGAAACAGTCTCCTCATTGCTTTCCTGATGCACCAAGCCCATTTCTCCACCACCTCCTATGCTGTTCCCCAGCCTGGAATGGCCTCGTCTTTGTCCTGCCTGCCCCAGAACCACCCTCCTCAAGGCCCATCTGAAAATGAAGTTCAGTTCAGTCCTGTGTGGACATGAATTACTTATAAAATTAATAAAATAGAAATTTTAATTAGACCTACAAGAAGTGGGGGAAGGGTATTGGCCACTGATCATGAGCTTGGCCCAGCAATGGACTAGGGATCTCTTCTGGCAATACAGTGATCTTGTCTGTGATGTGATAAGGATAGAACAGGAGAATAAGAATTTTAACGCTTCGGTATCAATTTGGCATTTTCACCACACTCAGCGGCATGGTTTTGTATTTACAAAAGTTATTGACTCTTGATGAATTGGAAATTTAAAAACAAAAAACAACCTGACTTCTTACCCTCGGTAATTTGTAAAGAAGGCCACGAGCATACATCTCTTACTGCTTTTGACTTTAATGTTGTCCCACATTGCATAATTATTGAGCCCCTGAGCCACCCTGTATTTGCCTGCCTACCATGTTGCTAGCAGGGGCTGTTCCTTGGAGAAGGACATGATGCTGGGAAGGGTGGAGGGTTGGTGAAGGGGAGGAAGACCCTCAACTAGGTGGGTTTGCACAGTGACTGCTGCAGTGGGCTCTTGTGTGTCAGTAAGTGTGAGGGAGGATGGCACAGGCTGATTCAGATCTTTTGTTCAAAGGGTTACAATGAGTCGTACTTGACTTAACTGCACCTAACATCAAGAACAACCCCTTGAGGACCAAACCAAACCCAAACCCAAATGGCACGGAGTTGATTGTGACTCATAGCAACCCTAGAGGACAGGAAGAACTGCCCTCTAGGTTTCCAAAGTTGTTAAGTCTTGACTGAAGCAGACTGCCACATCAGTGGAGTAGCTGGTAGGTTCAAACCACTAACTTTCTCATTCGCAACCCAGTGGCTTTAATCCTTACTTCCCTGGAGCTCATCACCGAGGACAGAGACCACCAAGAAACATTGTATTTGTGCAGCAATCTGTTGCCTACAAGGGAGCTCTGGTGACCTACTGGTTAAGGAGTTGCACTGCCAACTCAGAAGCAAGCAGTTTGAATGCACCAGCTGCTCCACAGGTGATTTATAATCCTTAAAAATCAGCTAGGAGGTAAGCTATGAATTGGTTTCAACTTGAAGGCAATGAATTGTTCTCTTGCCTACAAAAGCCTTTCACAGTAGTGACCGTATCCCCATCCATGCTAATCCCAAAGCAGTGTGAGGTACATTGCAGCCATTCTCATTACCATCTAAATACCAGATGAAGAGACTGAGGTTCAGAATGGACAATGAGACTTGCATTTCACATCTTCTGAATGCAAAGCCTGTGGTACTCTTTCTTCCTCACCCTTCCATTTAGCTGCTTGGTCTCCAGTAGATAAACTCTTTAACATACAAATGCAGGGCTGTCTGGGAGAACAGGTAAACCTTGTTCAAAAAGCATACAACAGAAAGGAAGATTGACCCAAATCTTGGAAGCCCTGTTGTGAAGGGGGACAGCTGACAGTGGGCTAAGAGAGGAGAGTTGGGCCTGGCTGAGAACTGAGCAGCAGGCGTTTGTGTATGGGTCACAGCCAGGATGCTCAGCAGCAGAGCCCGGCAACAGGAAACAGGAAGTGGCTGCAGGCCTGGGCGGGGTCTAGCAAGGGAGCTGGCACCTGGGCCTGGGGCCTGTGAGCTGGCCGTGCCCATGGGGGTGGGGAGGGGACAGCCTGGTGCTGGACTGTGTCTGCTGGCCTGAGAGTGTGAGGCAGTGCATGGTATCATCTCTCCCATGGATCTCTCTCTTCTCAGAGCTGACCGTACAGAATCCTGTTATTATGTGCCGTTAGTCAAAA